CCCAAAGGGGTCACGGCAGGACTCCTACCTAGGTGAGCCCTGGCCAAGACAAGCTCAGCGACCGGTCTTGGCTGTACAACTCGTAGGCGGCAGCCCGAGGATTCAGAGGTTGGGCCTGAGACCTGACCCAGTGAACCATGGGAGGGCGGGTCTGAGGCATCCTTGTATTTTAAGGAATCATCTGATGGGGAGCAGACTGGGGAGCACTGCTTGGAGTGCTCATCAGCTGCCTCCCTTAGTGCACAGCCCCCCCATGTCCAGTGTTCACCAGAGCCCTGCTGAAGAACAGCTCAGGGGGCCCTTCCATGACAATGAGGCAATGCAGGTAGGATTAGACTTTAGGTCTCTCCAGGGCCTGAGGCTGAGCCCGAGACTCTGCAGGCTCTTCAGAGAGGCCAGCTAAGCCAGGGTCCTGGCGCAGACCTCCTGGTTCAAACCCCAGCTCTGGGCCTGGCAAATCACTCAACACACAAAACACTGGCTCAGGCCTTGCCTTGGGGTTTGGTGGGCAGACCCCAGAATTGAGGTCTGTCAGAGCCCTCGGTGAAACCTTCCGGACTTCAGGGGGATCTGCTATCGCCAAGGAGTTACCCAGCCCTGAGACCCTAGTGATACAGTAATCCGTGCACCTCTCCATGAACATGCCGAGGAAGGAGTTCTAACTCATGAATGCTCTTATCACCACTGGCATTTGGACACAACGAAGAACTCACACTCCACGTCCAGGCAGCTGCAATCCTTAGAATGCAGTATGAAAAGATTTGAATCTCCCTACCACCCACCACCCTCCTCACCTCCCTCCGTCTCGAGACCCAGGTTGGACTATTTGCCTGGCAGGACTGGGCTGTCTTCTAGATTCAAGAGGGAGGGAGCTGCTGATGTCCAGGGAGCCAGCCACTGGGGAGAATGACGACGGGGCAGCAGGCTTTCCCTCTGTGGACCCCTGGAGGTCTGTCCACAGACCCCCCCTGGTCTGTCCACAGACTCCCCTGGTGGTTCGCGGGCACCACGTTCAATGGCGGGAGATGAAATCAAGGGAGTAGGTTTGAAACAAGGTGCTGGAATGGATAGGGAGGGGCACGTTCGGGTCTCAGGTCACACGTTGGCGGAGAGACTGGTCGGCTCTACGCGCATCTGCTGGCTGGACAGCGGGGACGAGGGACTGTCCCAGACCGTGGACTGTAGTGAAAGCAGTTCAGAACCCCTGAGCCTCATCCCTCTGCGTCTCCGTTTCTAATCTCTGCCAGGGCTCCCTCTTGTGTGAGGAGGGAATGCATGGAGTAATCACGTGCTTGGCGCCCATTGCTCAATGGACCAGCACCAGTGGGGGACTTGGGGGTCTGTGGCCATGGGCGTGATTCTCAGCTGGTCATGAAGTGCAGAGAGCCCTGGCACCCTGGTGCCGCTCTTGGCTCCCCACTTCCCCACCCGAAGCTCCAGCCCCAAGGCCGTACTTACCAGGATCCCGAAAGCCATGACTTTCAGCACACACTCCAGAGAGAAGAGGGAGGTGAAGACGATGTTGAACACCCTTAGAGCGTTCTCATAAGCAGGTGAGGCCCCGTAGAACTAGGGGAGGAAGAGGGAGAGGAGGAAGGACAGGTGGGCAGATGGCTGTCCTTTGAGGTGGGGGTGGGGGTGTCTCGGACCCTCGGCCTCGAGGTTGACCTTCTCCACCAACCTGACCCCAGACCGGAAAGGTCGAGCTCTTGGATTCAGGGTGGGGGGGACCCATTCTGGGGAGGCCAGCGCTTCATGGGCTCTCACATGCAAACATTCAAACCGCTTCCACTGAGCCCGACGCAGCTCCCTGGGTGCTGCCCACGCCAGGGGACACGGCATCTCCCGAGGCAGTCATGCTGCTTTGAGATCCCTCTCTTCCTTCTTTAAAAATAGTTTTTTTCTTCCTTCTTTTTAAATGACGTTTCAGGTGAAAAAAGCATACAGCTGTTGCTGCTTTTGGGTGCTCCAGACTCCCGGCTCCGATTCATAGCGACCCTGTGCCCACTGCCCGGTCCCGGACCGCCCCCACGTGGTTGCTATGGGGGAGCCCACTGTGGCAGCCACTGTGTCCATCCTCCTTGTCCAGGGCCTTCCTCGTTTTCACGGACCCTCTACCTTACCAAGCATGCGGTCCTTCTCCAGGGACTGGTCCAAAGTATGTAAGAGGAAGTCTCGCCATCCCTGCCTCTAAGGAGCACTCAGGCTGTACATCTTCCAAGACAGACCCGTTTGTCCTTTTGGCAGCCCGTGGTACCTTCCACATTCTTTGCCAGCACCACGATGCAAAGGCGTCTATTCTACTGCGGTCTTCCTTATTCAGTGTCTAACTTTCACATGCGTAGGAGGTCACTGAGAATCCCCTGGCTCGGGCCAGGTGCACCTTACGGTCTACAGACTGTGCAGTTGATGTTTCTGGAGCCTACTACGCATAGGAAGTCTTTGTGAGCCACAGAGAGAGGACTGGTCAGTTCCTGGCCCTGGTGGGAGGGTAGTGTCTTGAAACTGAGGCGGAGTTCGCTTACATATGCAGAGGATGACCATCAGAAGCAGAAGGACGGACAAAAAAGAGAAGCAGCGAGGCACCTCCTAAAGGAACTGTAACACAGGTCAAGGGCTGTAGCCTGGACGATAGCCTTAGGCCTGCAAGGGGCCTTTGGCTGAGCGGGTACCACCAGGCCTTACCACAGAGCCGGCAGTGACAGCAGAAATGCCAAGAGCAGGGAATAGGGCCTGCTAGTTTGTCTGGCAACCCTAAAGTCCTCACAATTTGGACCAACATGATGATAAATGGGGAAAAGACTGACGTCAAGGATTTTGTCTTGCTTGGATCCACAATCAGTGTTCATGGAAGCAGCAGTCAAGAGATCCAACGATGCACCGATTGGGTGAACCTGTCACACAAGCCCTCTTTAGAGTACTGAAAAACTTGGAGGACTAAGGGGCACCTGACCCAAGCCAGGGTACTTTCAATGGCCTCATAGGCATGTGGAAGTTAGACAGAGAATAAGGAAGACCACAGAATCGTCGAGGCGTTTGAATCGTGGTGCTGGAGAAGAGTAGTGAAAGTACCATGGACTGCCAAAAGAACAAATACGTTTGAGAAGAAGGATGGCCAGAGTGCTCCTTACAGAAAAGGCTGGCGAGACACCCTCTCACCTACTTTGGACAGGTTGTCAGGAGAGACCAGTCCCCGGAGAAGGACATCTCGTTTAGTTAAGTGGAGGGGCAGTGATGAAGGGGAAGGTTCTCAGTGGGATGGATGGACACAGCGGCTGCATCAATGGCTCACGCACAGGAACGATTGTGAGGATGGTCCAGGGCCGTGCAGTGCTTAATCTTTGCGTTTGTGTTTACTTTTATTTTGCACAGGGTTGCTATAGGTCAGAACAGACGATGGCACCTAACAACTGCAGCAGCAACAACAACAACAACAACAACAACAACAACATGCATGGTCAGTAGGAGCTGAGAGAGCTAGCCGGCCCTGAAGAAGGGCAGCGTGAAGTCTGGCTAGACCAGAGGATGCACACTGGTACAGATAGGAACCTGAAACAGGGAATCCAGGGCAGATGATCCCTACAGGACCAGTGCTGAGAGTGGCGATACTGGGAGGGTAGAGAGAGGGTGGGTTGGAAAGGGGGAACCAATTATCAGGATCTACATGTGACCTCCTCCCTGGGGGACGGACAATAGAAAAGTGGGTGAAAAGAGACATCGGACAGGGTAAGATATGACAAAATAATAATTTATAAATTATCAAGGGCTCATGAGGGAGGGGGGAGCAGGGAGGGAGGGGAAAAATGAGGACCTGATGCCAGGGGCTTAAGCGGAGAGCAAATGTTTTGAGAATGACGAGGGCAATGAATGTACAAATGTGCTTTACACAATTGATGTATGTATGGATTGTGGTAAGAGTTGTATGAGCCCCTAATAAAATGATTAAAAAAAAAAGAAGAAGGCCAGCGTGATCTCTCTTCACAGGGAGGAGCCTTCTCCACTTTACTTTGGGGGTTCCTGACCCTGATTCCCACCTGCACCCTGCTGCTTTCTTAATAACCCACGTCTGTGCGGTCTGTGTGGTCCCTGCACAGGATCAGGGAAACATCGGGCACACTCTGGGGGCTGGTGGGGGTCAGAGCTGGTAAAAAGCTTGGTGAGTGGAGTTAGGTCTGACCTCTGGCACATCGGGATCTTGATTTGCATGATTCTCCTGAAACCAGAAACATTCTTATTGTTTCTTTGGAGAAATGCCTATTGAAGGCATTTGCTCATTTAAAAAGCACGTGCGCATGGGTGTGTGTGTGTGTGTGTGTGTGTGTGTGTGTGTTGTTATTTCTTTCTTTACTCTTCTCAGAGCCGGATCATGAGTTGGAGCTGGTCAACAGTGGACAGGTCTCTACGGAGCACAAGACCCCCAGGGAGGTGCTCTCGCCTTAGGACATTGAACCATTTGAGATCAAAAGGGCATCTTTGACCCAAAGATGCAGTTCAAGAAGGCGAGGAAAGGAGGAGGCACGGGCACAGGAAACAGGGAAGAAGCGGGATAGGTGATGTTCCAGTACAGGGGTTGAGATCAGAGAGAAAAAGAGTCAGATCTTTGCTACTTTGTTCATGTTCTTTGTTGAACGCCATTCTCTAATCAGAACCCAGGCCAGCCTCTCGCCCTCACCTCCAGTTTATGAGAATGGGGTGGATGGGGCACAGCAACCCAGAAGGCGTGTCCATAACCAACGTGCCCGGCTTCCCTCAAGGTCAGTCAGGTGACTCTGAAGGAGCATGGAGAAGGCCTGAGGCCGGGTTCGGCTGGACAGCTCCAAGCTCAACAACTTATCTGTCCCAGACAGGTCTGGGGGGAACTAAAGCCATTGCAGTAAGGTCGATGTTTATTCCTGATCTCAGGCATGAACGACGATGTAGGACATGCTCCTCATTTCAGAAATGCATCCTCAAGGCCATTCTGACTTTTCTCCTCCGAGGAGGTCCCACGCCCTGGCCCGTTCCTCCTCCTCATCTCCCTCCTTAAACATTTCTCCAGGGTCTCGGGCGTTCTTTGAGCCAGGCCTTGGCTGGACCCCAGAAGTTCTGGGGTGACCCGGTCCCCCGGAAGTCACAGACTACTGGGGGAGACAGCTGGAGGCACCAGCATCGTGGGGAAGAGCAGGGGAAGGGTTTCAGCCCGTGGGTGTGGTGCAGTCACAGAGCTGGCGGGGTGGGGGCCGGGCAGGGCAGGTGGGGGGAAACCCAGGAGGACAGGGAGGGCCGGGAGGGGCGGGGTCGAGGGAGGTCTGGGCGGCTGGGAGGGGCAGAAGCTCACCTTCATCATGAGGACGATGGTGTTGAGGGCGATCATGGCCATGATGGTGTACTCGAAGGGCGGGGACACCACAAACTGCCACATGCGGTACTGAAAGCTCTGCTTGTTCTGGGGCATGTGGCGCGTCAGCGGCTTGGCGCTGATGGCAAAGTCGATGCAGGCCCTCTGTGGGAGACAGGCCGTGGGCGGGTCGCGGCGAAGCTCCCCGACGCCCACCTCCAGCTCATCCTCCCCGGCTGCTTTCTCCGAATCCCCATCCCCCTGGGAATCCAGCCTCTGCTAGACCTTGTGGGGACTCTCCCCAGCCCCCCAAGGGGATCTCGCTACCTCTCCTTAGCAACCATGCGGAATGGAACGGTGTGATCAATAGCCCCACTTTACAGGTGTGAAATATAAGAGGCAGTGAGAAGGGAAATCCCGCGGTTGAGGTAACACAGGCACCAAGTGGGACACCCGTCAGTTAAAACCAAAGTCTGATTTTGGAGCATAACCACTGTGCTCTCCAGCCATCTCCTCCTCCTCTTGGGTGGAGGGGGAGCAGGGGCCAGGGTGGAGGGGAAGCCCCAAGGGCCAGCAGAGCAGGGATGCTGCATTCTAGGCTCCTCACTGGGTTTGGATGAGGCCAGAGGGCCATGCTGGCGCCCTCTGGGGCACCGTGTCTTCCTTAGCAAGTCCCCTCTGTCTTTGGGGGTGGGGAGATGATACATCCCCATCCTGCTGGCTAATGAACTGTGAGCAGAAGTGATGTGGGCCAGCTCTGAGCACAAGTCTCAAAAGGTGGAGCAGAGCTGGCCTCACTCTGTGATCTGCAAGGTCCCAGCTTGCTCCGCCTGCCTGGGGCCAGGAGAGGTGACTTGAAGCAGAGCCGGGGCTGACCCGCTGTGGACAGGCACCGTGAGCAAGGAGGAAAGGCCTCTAGGAATGCCTGTAACAGAGGTGCTGGGGCTGTTCATTATTGCAGCACCACCTGGTCTGCGTGGGCTGATGCACACACCTGCTAGCTCACGTACTCCTGCTGCAAACCCCTGCAGGGCTGCCCCGCAAGTGGGGCCACTGACCAGAGAGGATATTGCTCTTCCCTCCCCTGGGACCACCAAAGCTGCTTCTTGTGTGTGTGTGCGTGAGAGAGAGGGGGGGGGGGGTCGGTCCTGACAGCTTAACCCACTGCTGCAGTCCCTGCTGACTCACGGAAACCCTAAGGACAGAGTAGAACTGCCCCATGGGGTTTCCAAGGATGAAGACAGCCTCATCTTTCTCCCACGGAGCAAGGCAGATGGGTGTGAAGTGAGAATCTTCCGCTTAGCAGTTTAACTAGGGAGCTTCCGGGGGGCAGGGGATGCAGTTGGGAAGCGGCACCTCATTCTTCTCCAGGCTGTACTCCTCCATCATCTTGTCCCCCTGCTCCTGGAAGGTGATGATGATCAAGGCCACAAAGATGTTGACGAAGAAGAAGGGGAAGACCACGAAGTAGACGACGTAGAAGATGGACATTTCCATGCGGTACCCCGGGCTGGGGCCCTGGTTCTCGAAGGTGGCGTCCACCGAGTGTTTGAGGACCCTGTGGGGAGCGGGTGAGGGAGGAGAGGGCCAGGAGAGAGGAGGCAAACAGTCAGAGGAGATGAAACAAAAGTAGTAACTGACTCTTGGTTCTAAAGACCACGGTGACTCCGTGGAGACACTGCACCGTCTCCTTGATCTCTGGGGAGTGGGGACAACACCACCGGCCACTTCAGCTGCCACACATGGGGTGTGTGTGTGTCAGAGGGGCCAGGTACTATGGTCTGCATTTTATTTATGCTCGAAGCCAGCCCCTCAGAGAGGTTTTTACTGGCTCCATTGGCACGCAAGGAAACTGAGGTTCTACAGTCTAGTGACTCTTCTGAGATCACCCACTCCAGAATGGCCAGCTTGCACTGTGAAGGTCCGGATCACAGGGATGAGAGGAAGAAGTCCAGGGTGCTGGAGGGAGGTGTGTTGAGCGAGCTATCTAACTCTGTGCAGGGGAAGGTGGGGGCTGAAGAGGTGCAACAGGGGAGTGTGTCTAGCTGCTGTGTACAGCTTCCTGGGTGTGCACTGCTCCAGGGCTATGTGTTTAAGGACGCCCCTCATGTTCAGACACGGAGGCTTTGTGTATTCATTCCAAGTGTTTTTTGGCAGGTGGGTGGCCAGAAAACGTCTCGTTGGCACAAAATCTTCAGGTATACATTGAGGTGTCCCTTGAAATGTTGCTCAAAGGTGCCTCATGGGTAGCAGTGGGTCCGTGTCTGTTGGTGGGCCCTGAGAATGTGCATGCTGGGCAGGTAGAAAGACTGGGAGGAGGAGAGAGGGGAGGATGTCGAGGGCAATGCTGGCTTCTACCAGGCCTTTAACCTGGTGGCTTCCTGATCTCTGGGAGGGACACTAGGTGAGGAAGGAAGGGCACATAGTGTAAAGGGCTCCCAAATTCAGTCACCCAGTTACATAATCTTTTTTGGCAATATGTCCGGATATAGAAATACAACAAAGCCGTAAGTCCACAATGAATAAAATGACAACATTATAAATTCTAGGCCCTTGCATGCCTTGGTCTTCTCTGACTCAACCCAGTCTGAGTTCTGGAGAAAATGACAGTAGGAAGAGGCCAAGTGGACACCCACACCTTAGAGGTTTGCGTTGTTGACCAGCAGAGAGACAGGGGCCTGCGTGCTTGCGCTCGCGTGCATGCGCGCGCGCACATGTGTGTGTGTGTGTGTGTGTGTGTGTGTGTGAGAGAGAGAGAGAGAGAGAGAGAGAGAGACTTTTAAAAACAGCAGCTGGTGGGGAGGAGAAATCCCTGGACACTTAGGATCCAGCAAGATGGCTGAGGAAAGCATGTCAGCTCCGACAGGTTCAGACACATGCTGGGGCCACTGTTCTGTGTGCAGCTGCTCTGGGGTCAATAGGATCCCACCTCACAAAGCCCAGGAGGAACCTCACCTCTCTGAGACTGCTCTTTTCTCAGGTTCTAAGGTCTTTGATTCTCCACTGCACCCTCGCCCCTGACCTCCGAGCACCTCCCACAGTGCTCGCCACCTCGCCACTTACTGGGGCCAGCCTTCCCCCGTGGACACGGTGAAGAGGGTCAGCAGAGCCCAGAGCACGTTGTCATAATGGAACTCGTACTTCTTCCACTCTCGGTCCCGGGCTTTCACCTCGTTCTTCTCATAGAGGAGATATTTGCCGCTGCCATGGAGAACAAGGCTGTCAGTCATCGCGGTGGGTGTGGGGTGGGCCTTTGCCCACCAAGGATAGGAGGAGGAAGAAGGGCGCATGCACATGGTCTCTGTGGCCCGGGAAACAGACTCAGAAACACATCTGCTGCAAAGGTTTAAATAAGGGATTGTGTACGTATGTTCATATCCCCAACCTGACAGATGTGGTGATGGGAAAATTCAGCAACCAGCTTATGGCTCCTTTTGGGGGATTGTGGGTGCAGCCACTGCACTAAACTCAGTGCCATTGAGTCGATGCTGACTCACAGTGACCCTATAGGACAGGGAAGACCTGCCCCTGTGATCTTCTGAGACTGTAACTCTTTACAGGAGTAGAAAGGCATTACAGCAAGCCCTACCTATCATATAGTAAACCAAAAGCAATACTGCATTTACAGAGGGACTTCAGAGATAATGGGAAATGAAGGTCCCAGGGGTGGAGAATCCCACCACATTCCCATTTAACTCACCTATTTGGCTGGTGCAAAAAAAAAAAAAAAAAGGATGTACCTTAAAGAATGACAGTGGATTATTGTAAACCTAATAAGGTGGTGACTCTAATTGCAGCTGTTGTTCTAGATGTGGTTTAATTGTTTAAACAAATGAATACATTTCTTGGCGTCTAATATGCAGTTATTGATCTGGTCAATGCCTTTTTCTCAATTCCAGCTTTAAAGAATCACCAAAAGCAGTTTTCCTTCAGCTGGTAAGGCCAGTAATATACCTTTACTGTCCTACCTCAAAGGAATATCAACTCTCCAGCCCTATGCCATAATTTAGTCTGAAGGAATCCTGATCTATTTCCCTTTCATGAGCTATTACACTGGTCCTTTACTTTTGTGTCATGATATTAGCTGGACCTTCTAAGGAGGAAGAAACATCAATGACTCCAGATGTATTGGTAAGATATTTACATGCTAGGGGTAAGAAATTACATTAAAACAATCCAAGCACTTTCCTCTTTAATGGAATTTCTAGGGGTCCAGTGGTGGTAGAGAAAGATGGGGCTTTCTACTCCTGTAAACAGTTACAGTCTCAGAAACCCACAGAGGCAGTTCTACCCTGTCCTACTTGATGGCAATAGGTTTTCAGTGGTGGTGGCGTATGTTGAGATGTTCCTACAAATATGAAGGATAAGTATTGCCTCTGGCTCCATGCACAAGTACACTGGAGGCACAGTGCTTGGTGGGTCTCTTTGGATTTTGGAGATAATATAACCCCCCTTTGAATTTGTGTCTTTGGACTCTTATCAAGCGTCTTACAAAGCTGCTAGTTTTGAGTGGGGCTCAGAATCAGGGCAGGCTATGCAAGCAGTTCAGACAGTCATTGCAAACCACTCTGTTACTTGGGCCATGTGATGTGGCTGGCCTAATGGTGCTTGAAGTGTTGGTGGCAGACAGAGGCGCTGTTTGGATTCTTTGGCAGCTCTGTTGGTGAACTGCAGTGCAGACTCTTAGGATTTTGGAGCAAAGCCATGGCATCTCCTGCAGGTAACTGCTCTCTTTCTCAGAAACAGTGCTTGGTTTGTTATTGGGCCTCAATAGAGACTAAACAGTTGACTACAGACCAGCAAGTCACCATGTGACCTGGGCTTCTCACCAGGAACTGGGTATTATCATAAAGTTGGATGTGCTCAACTTCTATCAATAAATGGAAGTGGTATGTATGAGGTCAGGTTCAAGAAGGACCTGAAGGCAAAAGTAAGTTACATAAAAAAATGACCAAAATGCCAAATGCCCTTGGTCTCCATTATCTTCCCTCTCTTAGTCCTGTTAGCGTAGTGGTTACAAGTTGGGCTGCTAACACAAGGTCAGCAGTTTGAAACCACCAGTGACTTTGTGGGAGAAAGATGAGGCTTTCTACTCCCGTAAAGAGCTACAGTCTTAGAAGCGCACAGGGGCAGTTCTGCCCTGTCCTACAGGTCGCTATGAGTCAGAATCAACATGATGGCAGTGAGTGTGTTTGCTTTTGGTATCAATCTGCAGCCATGTACATGAGCTGTTTATTTTAATCAGTTGACTGAGGGAGAGAAAACGTGTGGCTGGTTTATAGATGGTTCTGGGCCGTATGCCAGCACACCACTTGAAAGTGGATAGCCGCAACATTACAACCCCTTTTTTGGACCTCCCTGAAAGATGGTGGTGAAGGGGGATCTCCCACTGGGCAGAACTCAGAACAGTGCACCTTGGCTGCTCATTATACTTGGAAGGAGGAATAGCCATTTGTGCAATTGCATATGAATGAATGGGCTGCGGCCAATGGTTTGGCTGGATGGCCAGAACTTGGAAGGACCATGGTCAGAAAATGGGTGGCAAGGAGGTATGGGAAGAGGTATGTGGATAGATCTGAATGGGCAAAGAGGTGACGATATTGTGTATCATGTGGATCCTCACCAAAGGGTGACAATCAGCAGGGGAGGATTTTAACCATCAAGTGGATAGGATGCATCTTGTGGAAATCAGTCATCCTTTTCCCCAGTAGCTCCCGTCATTGTCCAACCGGCTCTTGAACAATGTGGCCATGGTGGCAGGGATGAAGGCCCGGCATTGGCTCAGGAACGTGGACTTGTACTCACCGACAAGGTCAATTTGGCTACAGCCACTGCTAAGTGCTAAATCTGCCAGCTGCAACAACCAACACTGAATCCCCAATAGGGAACCAGTGCTTTGTTCTTCCATATGGATTTGTGGGGGGAGGTCAGATGCACAGGCATTCCCCCCCCCCTGAGGGCGATCAGTTGCCAGGCTGCACTAGCCCTACTCCCTGCTGCTAGAGACAATGGGTTACCTCTCTCTGGAGCCTAAGGCCATTAGTTTGGTTCCTGTGGGCGGAGTTCACACCCAACTGATAATGGTTCCTATGGAGACCCAAAGTCAAGTTAAGCTACTACCAGAAATCTAGGATCCGCCCATCTTGCTGCATGTACACCCCCAATCCCTCCTCCTTCTATAGCGTGTATATCCCTAGATCACCCCCTCCCATCACTGTAATACCTGTAGCACAACCCTTTCCTGTGACGTATGTCTTTACCTGTAATGTGGGGGCTTGCACGTCCCCAACGTCCCCAGAGAGTATAAAAGCTTGGGGAGCATTAAAGTTCTCTCTCCCTCCACATGGATTACCAAGCGGGGCTGAGGTGAGCATGCTACCATGAAATGTGTCTGACTCCATTTATTTCTCTATATCCCTTTTATCTCTCATGCTCTCTATAACTTTACTATAATATTTACTTATTATCGCTGTACAATTGCGCCTACCAAACCCGTAGTGATTGTGCTAGGAGCTGGCTTCTTCTGGCATGGATTTGCCTTCCATGCATGCTTTGCTTCTGCCAAAACGGCCGCTTTTCGACTTACAGAATGCCTTTTCCACCATGAAGGTATCCCATAGCATTCCCTTAGATCCAGGGACTCTCTTCACAGCAAATGGGCCCAGGCCCATGGAATTCACTGGTTTTACCACGTTCCTTCCCTTCACGTGGAAGCAGCTGCCTTTATAGAACAATGGAATGGCCTTCTAAGGACATGGCAACAACATCAGCTAGGTGTCAATACCTTGCAGGGTTGGAGAAATGTTCTCCAGGAAGCTGCATATGCTTTAAACTAGTGTCCAACATAGGGTGCTGCTTTTCCCATTGCTAGGGTTCGTGAGTATAGGAGTCAAAGGGTGAAGCCGGGCCTGGCACTTATTATTAGCTCCAGTGAATCACCTGAACATATTCTGCTTCCTGTCCCCACTCTGTATGCGCTACAGGTCCAGGGGTCTTAGTTCCCAAGGGAGGGATGTTCTCACTAGGAGACACAACATTGGTTCCATTGAAGCGGAAGTGGACTGCCACCCAGCCTTTTTGGGCTCCTCGTGCCTCTGGATTGACAGGCAAAGAAGAGAGTTATTGGACTGGCTGGTGTGACTGATCCTGACGACCAAGGGGACTTGGACTGATTTACATAATGCAGATAAGGAAGCGTGTGCCTGCAGTAAGAAGATCCCTTAGGCCAGCGGTTCTCAACCTTCCTCATGCCGCCGCCCTTTCATACAGTGCCTCATGCTGTGGTGACCCCCAACCATCAAATTATTTTTGTTGCTACTTCATCACTGTTTTGCTACTGTGATGAATCATCATGTAAATATCTGATATGCAGGATGTATTTTCAGTGTTACAAATTGAACATCATTAAAGCATAGCGGTGAATCACAAAAACAATATGTAATTGTATATTGTGAAATATTTATTTCTAATGACAAATCAATGACATTTTGTCTGGAAGCATGGTGTAGCATTGGGCAACAGTCTTCACACCGGGTACTCATATGTGGGCGTATCTGCATGTGGGGGGACCTGCCTGGAGACGGGTAGAGGAGCAGTTTCTCAGTTCCTAAGACCATTGGAAATATGTGTTTTCCAATGGTCTTAGGCAACCCCTGTGAAAGGGTCATTCAACCCCCAAAGGGGTCGTGGCCCACAGGTTGAGAACTGCTGCCTTAGGCTGTCTCATACTGCCATGTCCTGGGATTAAACCCAATGGAAAACTACTGCTACCCAAATGACCGATGACCCAGACAGACCCTGGATAGAAGGAAGGTTTGGGTCACTCCATCAGGTAAAGAACCATGACCAGCTGAGGTGCTGACTGCGGGTGAAAGGAATGTAAAATGATGGTAAAAGAAGTTAGTTTTAAATACCAGCTATGGCCATGTGACCAGTTATGGAAATAAGAACTTTAATTATTCTTTTTTACTTCATGTTGTCACATCTGTGTGTGTATGTATCGTACAGACAAAGAGGCTTAAAATTTTTTTTTGAGAAATGAAATGAAAAGATAATGGAATTACCATACTATTAGATTATATCTTTAGTATCTCCCTTTTTTTATTCCATTACTTACTATAAGATGCAAACTAGGCTGGTGTATTTTAAGTTGTGTGCATGCTCATTGCATTAATGTTAGGTGGATGTATGACTATAATAATTTTTATTTTTAGATTCTGTATGGTTTAAGGAGACAGAAAGGTCCCGAATGGACAAGGGGTGGACTACTATGATTAAGCTTATGTGTTAGCTTGGCTAGGCCATGATTCTCAGGGGTTTGACCGTTATATAATGATATAATTTGGCAGTTAAGTAATTATGTCATGATCTTCCATTTTGTGATATAACATAGTCACTTCCATGATGTGCTCTGATGTGATCAGCCAATAAATTGTAAAGAGATTTGGCCTGAATCCAATATAAATGGACTTTCTGGGAAAACTCACTGTTTTTCACTTATTCTGTATCCTGCATCCTGCTGGTCATCACCAAATCATGGGGATTTAGCTAGCAGTCTGCTGTACTGCCTTCCGTTTGGGGAATTCATTTGCCTCTGTAGCAAGCTGATGAGCCAGCAGCTTACCATTTTACCTGCTGAACCTGAGATTCATTGACTTCCAGAGCCTATGAGCCAACAGTCTGCCATCAACTTCAGCAGTTATGAGAGTCAGGAGATGCCTCCGGCCTGAAGTCTGACCCATGGGCTCGGACGTGCCAGTCTCTACCACTGTGTGAGTCACTTGAGATAAATCTCTCTCTCTGTCTTCTCCTCGCTTGCCCTCCCCTCCTCCCCTCCCTTTCCGCTTCTCTTCTCTTCATTCTCTCCAACCCCCCTCCATGTTTTGCTTCTTTGAAGGTCCTAGCCAAAGATAACCCCCAAACCAGACTTTCCCCTCCTACCTCAGGGTTTGACAGGTGATAGCCCAGTAGCCAAATAGGACCCCTGTCTGTTTCCGTCCTGTCTATGCACTGAGAATGTTTTTCACATTTTTAAATGGTTGCAAAGAACTCTAAAGAGACAGTATATTTCATGATGTGTAACAATTATATGAAATTCAAATTTTAGTTTCCAGGAATAAAGTCTCATTGGAAGGCAACCACGCCCATTTAGTTGGGAATCACCTGTGACTGCTTTTGTGCTACAAGGGCAGAGCTGAGTCATCACAGCAGGAGCGATGGCCCACCAAGCTGAGACTCTGGATGGTTTGGCTCTTTAGGGAAAAGCTTTGCTGATTCCTGACCCTGGGGATGTACGTCTCTTTATCATCATTATTTACCTTACCTGTTACAGCTAGCCACATGTTTCTCTGTAGAAGCATAGCCTATGGCTATAGAGAAGCCTTAGCTCAGCGAGGGGGTTAAGTTGCATGCAGTATATGGGTTATACAACCTCGATGAAATGAAAAACAATGATTCTGAATCTTGAAATACCCCTAGCTCCAAAGGTTTCGGACGGGGGTTCTTGGATGTGTCTCGCTCGCTTGACGAAGGCAGTGGTGGCTCAACTAACGAGCTGGCGGATCATGCTCTAGTTGGCACTGACTTCAGTTCCAAAACCCCTTTTCTTTCGACTCCAGATCCAAGTTGGATGCAGTTGTCAGATCACTCCCAACGCCCGTGACCCCAGTCCCCAAGCCCAAGTGGCCAGCACCACTCCCCACGCGCCCACCCAGTGAAGATGTTCAGGAGACGGGACCCACCGGCAGTCCTTCTCAAACTCCTTGGACTCGTCTGTGCAGTGGAAGAACTTCCCCTTGAAGAGCTGCACGGCCACCACGGCGAAGATGAACATGAAGAGCATGTAGACGATGAGGATGTTGAAGACGTTCTTGAGCGAGTTCACCACACAGTCAAACACGGCCTGGGGGGCAGGGGTCAAGAAAAGGCATCAAGGGCCGGGGGCTGCCCAGCCACCCCCTCAGCGACCCAGAATGCTTAAGTGTCCATTTGCGGGCCAGGGCATGAGTGAAGGCCCTCATTAAGGTCATACAGCTCTGAGAAACATTCGGGTTAGACTCCAACGTGGGTGTTGCTACATCTAAAAATCCCTGAGCTCACCCCCTGGGGCTTCTTCCAGAAGCAAGCACGTGGCTCTTTGGGGAAAGAAGGAGGTGCTCAATGAGAGGCCACTTCCTGTTAATCATGAGCCCATCCTGCCCTGGGTGATCCATCTGGCTGGGGCTGGGGTCCATGCCCTTTACCCAAAGGCCAGTTGATGGCTCTCTGGAGCTGAGCGATGTCTCCTTGGGTGAGATCGCTAATATGCCAACTTGACTAGAATAGCGCCCAGTTGTTGGCAAAGACTCCTCATTTTTATAAAGTAGCCAAATGTGAGCTACAACCAGTCTGCCTCAAGCCATATCGGAGGGTTTCAACCAAGCCATCGATAGAGCAAGACGGGGTCTCCCATCGCCAAACTATAAACAGACATTTTTCCAGGACACACTTTCGCTTTACTCTTCTCATTGCTTGACCTGTGGGGTTTTAGGGCCCAAGCCTGAGGGGATTTCCTGTCTGTCCTCTGGACCTGCGCATTTTGGACTTTGCTAGACCCCAAATCATGTGTACCAATTCCCTTAAGTAATCTCTAGTAGTCTACCTTTGGGGGAGCCCTGGTGGTTACATGTTGGGTTGCTAACCTTAAAGTCTGTAGCTAGAACCCTCCAGCTGCTCTGAAGGTGAAAGGTGAGGCATTCTACTCCCATAAAGAGTGACAGCCTAGGAAATCCACAGAGGCGGCTCTCCCCTGTCCTACAGGGTTGCTACGAGTTGGAATCGATTTGATGACAGTGAGTTTGGTTTGGATTGCTCTTATCTTCTATCTCTCTGTGTATCATCTGCATCCCTATCTATCTCTCTACTGTATGTCTGTCTTTTGCCTCCTATAACATCTATCTATCTATCATCTTTTGTATAACTGTATTCTGTCTGTTTGTGTATCATCTCTCTCTTCTGTATGTTTATCTATCTATCCACCCATCTATGTATCTATCTTTTGCATGTCTACCTGTCTAGATATCTATCTACTTAGTTGTTTCCATAGAGAACCTCATGTCGGACACTGTGCCTGGGGAAAATGGAATGGTTCCATCCAGAGAAGACTGGGGTCCTGGCCCAGAATGTCCCCCTACCCATGCCTGAAGTTCTGCACTTGCCCTTCAGACATGACCGGAGGCTTTTCAGAGCAGCCCGCCTGGTTCCATTCACTCCTAATTGAGTGGGTGCTTCCTCACCACATCAGGGACCATGGATCATCACACCCACTGGAATTCCAAGCAAACACCATACATGAAGAAAGCTAAAGGTCATTACAAAGAAAGAAAGAAAAGACCAAAGTGGAAACGAAGAGCGTCTTGAATGAGGGCGGCTAACGAGGCAGGAAGCAAGGATGAAGTCAAAGAGCTTCAGATTTTCAAGGGCGGCTCCCGAGGACCAAGCGAAGCATTTGTACGAACTGTGGAAAGGCTCCGAGTTGGAAAACTAAAAGGGAAGAACACACTCTGTGTGTTTCGAGCCGAAAGGATTGAAGGAAAGAATTCAAGCCCCCACGTTGTAATATTGACGGATTCTAGAGGCAAACTAGAATCCTATGTGAGGGGAGCAAACGGTCAAGAAAAAGACAGGAAAGAAAATACCAAAATGGACGTCGAAAGAGACTCTTAAACTTGAATGAAGAAAAAGCTAAAGCGACAAGAAGGAGAAAAAAAGATGCCGTGAAAGAGTGAAAGAGTTGAACCCACAATACAGTTTTGCTTGCTGAAATCCAAAAGGACTTGAAGCATTTACTGTTGAAGATCAAAGAATACATCCTTCAGTGTGAGTTGCATCTCAAGGTAAAGAAAACAAACAAACAAACAAACAAACAAACAAACAAACAAACAAAAACCCTTCACAACTGGCCCAGCAAACAACTGGAATATTCTTTAGCAGTGAGGATGGCGTGACTTCATTACTCATCCTTCAGGAGGGACCAGTCCCTGGAGAAGGACATCGTGCTTGGTAAGCAGAGGGCCAGAAAAAAAATGAAGGCTCTTGATGAGATGGCTTGACACAGTGGCTGCAGCAATGGGCTGAAACACAGCACTTGTGAGGATGATGCAGGACTGAGCAGCATTTCGTTCTATTGTGCAAGTCAGAACTGACTTGACAGCACCCATCCACAACCACAACCACAACCACAACAACATAGGGACAAATGTTAAATGATGCAGGAAGCCTTAGAAAGAAAAAATGGAAGGACTATACAGAGTCCCTGTACTAAAAAGAATTGGTTGAGGTTCAACCATTTCAGAAGGTAGCAGATAGTTAAGAAACAATGGGCTTGAAGGAAGAAGTCCAAGCCACACTGAAGGCATCGGTGAAAAACACGACCTCAGGAATCGCTGGAACACCAATCGCAATGCTTCCACAAACAAACGCAACGATGCAAATGTTCACATGTCTGTGTCAGGTTATTTGGAAGACAGCTACCTGGCCAACTCATTGGAAGAGGTTCACATTTGTGCCCATTTCAAAAAAAGGTAACCCAGTGCAGTGCAGATATTATTGAGCAGCATCATGACTATAACTTGCAAGTAAAATTTTGCTAAAGTTAATTTAAAATATGGTTGCAGCAGCACTTGGACAAGGAGCTGACAGAGATCCAAACCAGATGCAGAAGAGGTCTTGGAGTGGGGGATTTCCCTGCTGACATCGGAAGGGATCGTCATTGAAAGCAAAAAATACCAGAAATCTATTTTCTCTTATTGCCAATACACAGGTATTTGACTGTGACTCACAACAAATGATTAATAGCATGAGAATGATACCTCCAGCATACTGAATTGTACTTACGCAGAATCTGTACATAGACCAAGAAGCCGTTGCTTGAAAAGAATGTTGTGATTTAAAAAAAATACTTATCCCATCTGTATGTGGGCTAAAGAAATCTGAGAAGTGGACTCTGAAGAAGGCTGGAGGAAGACTCATGTGAGGCAGCGATTTACTTAACGTGCTTCTTCTTAGCACAGTCCTGTAACTCCCACACAGTGACTGGTGGGACCATGCGGATGGGCTGTAGTTCCTGGTTTCTTGCTGGGTCTGAGTTAAGAGTAGTTCTGTAATTTGGTGTCAACTTGAAATGTAGGGGTGGAGGCTAGCCTGTCAATCAGGTCAGAGCCTGATGGTGCCTCCTTGTGGGTGTGACCCTCCTCATAAGGAGGGTGCTGGGAACCTCCTCTCTCTCAGCCTTCAGCTTCCTGTTGAGGAGCCACACGGAGACTTGTGTGAGTTCTGGAGATGCGCCCACTGCCATTGGATCCAAAAGACTTTGCACCCACCTTGCACCCTGCATTCTGCATCATGGCATGTAGCTGCGTGAGTCTGAAGAGGGGTTTATGGACCAGTATTGAACTTATGGATTTGATCTGGACTGGGCTGGGATGTTTTCCTGCTATATAGCTACTATGTGATATAAAGCTCTCTCTTACACATATATGAATGTCTCTGGATTTCTCTAGTCAGCCCGGCCCAATGCAGCAGGAAAGATGCTGATAGGACTACATGGTACAGTTGTGAGGGATTGCTAACAGAGTTATTTGTGATTGTGAAAACTTGGAACTCTAAGTTTGGTCAATTTTGCTATTCTGTTGGGAATAAAAGGAACCATCTCAGAAGCAGGAAAGTGGGGAATCTTACTACTATTAAGAACAATTTGCCCAGAGTAGAACATGTCCTTTAGACTTCAAGATTCCTGTCCACTGAAGCTCCTCCTCACTGCAGGAGACAGAGAGCCACAACACCAGAGATGGTGAGAGATGGCAGAGAAGTGGTGCAGGGGTGGCAGCAGCGCCAAGAGCATGAGGCAGAGTGGTGAGCTTCCTGGTCCAGAGGGAAAAAACCCTGAATGTTTACAGGTAGGACACTCGCTTGTGGAGTGGAAGCCTCTAGGCACTTAATTTGGGGAGCAAGGTTTGCTGATTCATGGAGCTAGAGCCAAACACCATTGGGCATTTATCAGAAGTTTAAGTGAACTCTGTAGCATTGCCCTAGCAGGGCAGAAGCCAAGGGGCTGCATGGCTGAATCAGAGAGAGGCCTGTCTGCAGGCACGGCTGTCCTAACTAAAGAACTTTATTCTGAGCATTTCTGATCCTGAAATACAACCTGCTCATTTCCCTCATTAGTCCCACAATCGTAAGTATGGCTGGAGAGCTCTGTGTGGCCAATGCAATGAATTATTAACGCCAGCAGAAAAGAGTGTGTGCAGTTGAGGTCAGAGTTGACAAAGGCAGTCAGAGGAGGGTGGAGGCATGCTTGATCTCTGCCTCATAGGAATCAGAAGTGTTAAATGAATGCATTCAGTGGATCCATTCAGCTGGTTTCGGATCTCTGCATCCACCAGCCTGTGCCCCTGCTGCCCTGGCTTTGTCATCCTGCATCCTGTTCATCACCTTCCATGAGTCGGGAGTTAACCTGACTTGAACCAGGCTGGACTTACCTATTTCTACAATGGTATACACCGCGTTTTTGGATAGAAATCTCTTTCTGTCTGCGCCGCAGACAAGCATCAGCGGTCCTGCTTCTTGCAAGAACCCAACCTAACACACACACACACACACACACACACACACACACACACACCCATGACTGTGAGGGTGGCACAGGGCAGGGTTTTGTTTCCTGGTACATAGGGTCACTGTGAGAAGGAAAGGATGGATGGCACCTAACCACAACGTTGGAAACCCACCCTCACCCATGCGGCATGCTTCAGCAGCGTGCTTTCTGCTCACCTGTTCACAGCAGCCCTGACAAGCCACGCAACACCCTCCAGTCTCACCTTGAGCTTCGGCAGCCGCTTGATGGTTTTAAGAGGTCGTAGCACCCGGAGGACTCGGAGGGATTTAATTGTGTTGATGTCCTTTCCTTTGCTATTGCCACTGTGGAGGAATGTGAGGGTGGGGAGGAGGGCAGAGAGGAATGGAGGTCAGGCTGGGTGGTGGAGGCCCATAGCTCCTACAACCCCACCCTTCCAAGTTTAAGAGTACGGGGTGCCTGGCAGGGCCCTGCCCTTCTTGAGTGTGTGGTCCAGTCCACCTGCTGATTTTGAGCCTGGGAGCAAGGGAACAGATGGTTTCGTCGTGGTTCTGGGCTCCGGGTTTGTTGAATGAGAGCTGGCAGGCGCCAGCCTGGAGCTGCAGGGCCCACTGCCACCTGTTTGGGCCTGAGCAGGTGCGCAGGGTACCCTCAAACCCACCCAAAGGGAGCTTGATGCCCCCTCGGCAGCCCCGAGACAGCTGTTATTTCCAGCATAGCCCCCAGTCCAGAGTTTGGAGGTGCTGTGCTGGCACGGACGTGGTCTTTGGGAGACTCTTAGAAAATGGGATCCCGCCTCCTCCCACAAGATTCAGGAAGATACTGGAAGTGGCCCTTAAACCAAGATCCCCTCTGCCAACAGCCCACAGGGGAGGGAAGGACCTGACCACCAGGGGCTGATGTCGAATCAACATCCCATTTTTGAAGCCAGAGAACTTCTTAGTTCAGTCCAGGGTCTGTGTAGCCCGAGCTAAGCAGTGCAGGTCCCAGGGCTACCACAACTGCCTAGGACAGCCATGATTCAGCCCTCGTTAAGAGAAGGCAGGCTTTGGGTATGACCATCAAGGTGCTTACGGTTAATGAAACTCATCACCCACCCAGGTGCCCAAGCCTGAGACCCGACCGAGAGTCACGTTCATTGTCCTGTCCCCACTGGGTCCCTCCCCTCAATGTCTGCACCACCTTAGGGTAGACCCCTGTGACCCATCTCCCGACTCTTTCTCCTGCACACAGAGGTCAGGGCCATGTCACTGCCCTGTTCAAAATCATCCCAGAACATCTGACTTCCTGAAAGAAGAGCCAAGGGCAGTGGGGGCTCTTCAAGGTCTAGTCCAACCTGCCTTCTGGTTCTCAAACACTGCTCTCCTCTGAGCCCCAGCCGGACTCATCCACCTCTGTCTGCTTCTGCGGGCACTGTTCCCCTGGGCAGAAATACACCCCCCCCACCCCCGCCTCCCTACCACAGAACCACATGGTCTTCAAGACCCCAATGAAATGTCCCTTTGTCCAGCACCCTGCCCTGCCTGCCCTGGGCCCCACCGGCCCTGATCTATTGACGGATCACTGCCTGGGAATCATCTTCGTTTCTGCTCTGGCGTCCCACTTTGGACAGAAAACTCCCCAGAGGCTTCGACCCGTGCCCTGTTCCTCCACATGGCTCCCATCTAGCTTGTGCCTGTGTGAGTGGATTCGAGCCTCTGAGCGCTCGTGGCAAATGCCTCCCCCTGCAGGTCCCTCGCAGACACCAGCTGCCAAGAGGCCTCCACCACGCAGACCGAGTGTGCAAAAGCACCCTTCTTTATGCCATCTGCTTTTGAAGGGCCCCTCCTCTCTCTTTCCAAGTAACAGAGAGGGGAAGTAGGCTTGGCGCAGACACGCTGCTGAGGGGGGAGTACAGGTCTCACAGCTGGCTTTCCTGTTTCGTTTTTTAAGCCAGAAGTCTCTGTCAGGTGCAGTCACTAAGGGCCGTGCCACCAAAGAACTGGCTCACCCAGGGAGACGTGCCATTTCTTCTCCGGGAGATGCGAGGAGGTCTTCCCGGCCTTACAAGCGCTTGCTCATTGGTCCCTTTCCACGGAGATGCTTACTGTATGGGGCTCAGCTTACTGCCCGGGGTCTCTTCCGTGCGTAGCAACACAGATCGTGAGAGGACGACAGAGTTTCCTGTCCCCCAACCCACTTTGGTTTAAAGTACGTGCTGGTAGAAGACGTGCCAGGCAAGTGGACAGCCCGGTGGCACGGTGGGTACGTGCATCAGACCTGGGTGTGTCTGGCAGTGTGTGTGTTTGGGAACACCCCGCAGGGTGCGCGTGGCCACTGAAAGGGCAGGTCTTGGGGGGAGCGATGATTCCACAGTTTCAGATTCTATAGTTGCTCTTTCGAGGAAACGGCTTCTTTTCCCCTCCCCGCCCTTCCCAGTGGCTGAGGCACCGAGGAACACACAGATGGGTGCCCACGGACAAGCACCAGAGGGGAGGCATGAGTTTGTCAGCGAGCATGTGCCCCCAGGGGCCCTGCCCTGAGCAGCAGAGATTGTGAGGCCTGCCCTCCGGTAGGCAGGGACGCTTAGTGCCCTGGGCAGGGCGGGGGCACCCTCAGGGGCAGACAGCTCAGAGTCTGGGCCCTGGTGGGAGGAGGCAGTGCCAAGGCCGTGGGGGCTCCTCCTCCCCTGGGAACAGGCTAAGGGGCTCTGGCCACGTCCCTGCTCTGGGCCAGCTGCAGGGACATCGGGGCCAGGCAGACTACCCCAGGGCAGAGAGAACGAGAGACAGAACAAGAAATAGAGAGAGAGATCGACAGAGAGACTTTACCGTGTACTGCTCCTGGGTGAGGTGGCGTCGGAGGGAGAGACAGATCGTAAGCGACCTCAGAAGAAAGAACATAGGACACAGACGTACACGCACGCAGCACACACGCACACCTGAGTGCCTCCCGCCTGGCCTGGCCTGGGCACTAGGAGGGGCCATCACAGGCTCGGGCTCAGGCTGCCTGATGTCCCTCCTTCCATCTGGAAGCCTCTCATTCAGGCCCCCCACCCGCACCCTCTGCAGAGGCCCTTGGTGCTGTCCGACAGCACCAAGAAAGCCAAATTTCCAAGTAGCAGGATGGCCAGACAAAGGGCATCTGGCAAAGGCAAGGCCGCCACTGAAGGTCACTGCCAAGAGTTGGAGAAATCCTCGTTTCTCCAGAAGGTCTGGTGCTGGAAAGTTCTGGAATGTCTTAAAGATGACATCTTTGGAGTTGAGAAAGGGGGATGGATCTGGGCTTGAATCTTGGCTCTGCCCTGTGTCACCCTCATCTGTGAAAACAAGCCTGGGGGATTCTGAAGCTCAGAAAGTGGTAGCCACGGCTCTGGTGTCTCCCTAACGTGTGGGAGAGGGGGTTGGGTAGCACTTCCAGCTTGGGATGGAACTGGGTGGAAAGTGCTGAAAAATGGGGGTCGGGGAGCTAGAGCGAGCCGGGCACATGGCTGCCACCAAGGTGTTTGCTGTGGCCCCTGGCTTGACTGGGTTTTGAAGCCTCGGCTTGGTTACATCAAGGCCAGATGTCAAGGCTGCAAAGACTCCTGGGACATCAGGATGGCGGGAGCCTTGCCACCAGGCAGGCAGTAAGAGCCGACTGAATCATCAACACCCTCACCCACCTACCTCCCTTGCCATCGAGATCATTCTGAAAGATGACACAATGGCTTACATGTGGCCCAGTGATTCCCACTGGATTCCGCCTCCTTGTTCTTTTGGCCTATATCATAAGTCCCCAACTTTATTTGGCCTACCACCCCACCCCCACTTTCAGGAACAACAACAACACAAAACAAAAGCTCAGCACCTCCCCAGCAGTTAAAAACGTTTGTACTGTAACCCCTAATCCAGGATACAGTGTCCGTATCTGCGTTTGCAGTCCCCTGGACCATTCCAGCATCCCCAGGGGGCAGGATGGCCCACTTTGGAAAAAAAAACCACTCTGGGCTAGCGTGGAGGCTTTCCAAGTTCAGTGCGCTTGGGAATGCATTACTGCACACGGTGGCTGCAGCAATGAGCTCGACAGAAGGACCATTGTGAGGACGCTGCAGGACGGGGCGGTGTTTCGTTTGGTTGTGTACAGGGGGCTCTATGGGTCAGAACCGACCCGACAGCCCGTCCCGTCCCCACCGCACCAGGTGCTTAAGGAATTTTTGGATTC